AAAAGCACCCGTTTTAGACAACTGTGTCAACTACTTTTGTCCCTGATTGTAGTTGCTTCTTCTTTTTAGAAAAAAGGAGCCATCCTCTATGGGTGTCCGTATTAAGCAGGTTAAATTTTGAGAAAATGCAAGGGCTTTCTTTCCCCAGGGACAAAGCAAACTGTCCGTAATAATGAAGTGTCCTTAGGACTGACAGTCCATAAACTGTAGCTGGGCAAGCTCCCATAGGTGGCCATGTAACCCACACATCTCTTGTGGCCACTTATACAGTGAAAGTATTCACCTGGCTATAAAGCTATTACAAGAACCTCCACACCTGAAAGAGATCAAAGATGCCATTTTGAATAGGCTCATGCAAAACTAGCCTGCGAAAACATCCGTTTCTCCTCGCTCTTCGCCACTGGGGACGTTTCGCGCAGAGGAACGTCTGCGACTCAGCGACAGAAATTCCATACTGATGACGTAAAATCTGTCCGGAATCTGGTCAGAAGCGCTGATTGGTCGACAGAGTAGTTACATTGTTTTAGGTATTGTTTACGAATGACAGACAAGAGACAAAAGGCCATAAAGGTCAAATGTAAACGCAAAGAATCTCTAACAAAACAGTCAATATTTGTGGCATATAGTCTTCTCTAGAAGAAGCATTTGAGTTTCGCTGGAGCTTGTTGGCAGATGAACAGAACACTTTACCAAAATCGACCAGGAGACACGTAAAATTGGACAAATTTATATTTGGAACCCCATAGCTACAGGATTTATTATGTAAACATTGATTTGCGTCATCAGTATGGAATTTCTGATGCTCGGTCCCGGACGTTCCTCTGCGCGAAATGTCCCCAGCGGAGAGGAGCAAGGAGAAACGGATGTTTTCGCAGGCTAATGCAAAACACCTGTGTGATTTTTTCAGTGATAAAAGTGAAAGTAAAACCAAGAAAAGAAAAGTATCAGATTCCACAACCAACAGTGAAACATCAATCGATCCTCCACTTCCAAATGAAGCTGGCGACGATGATGATCCCAGCAAAGAAGATGATGTTAACCCACTTGAAGAAGGTTGGGAAGCATCTTCCATTCTCGGAGCGACAGATGTTGAAGGACAAGTTCATTTTCTCATACAATGGTAAATAGACATTTTTATTGTATATGGCTGAATCCTCGAGCTGGTAAGATGAAGTGAATCCTGCCCCCATATTGGCTACCCAAGTGCCATCTAACCCACTTGGGATTCCCTGCATTGGTCCCACAAAAAAGTTCTCTTTTTGGCCATAATATTATAAATCCTTTATCGACCAAGCTTGTTCAGTCAAGATGGCTGGATATTGGCCTTGTTCTTTCTTGCATTTTTATGGTGGAGCTCCATGCGCACACAACCACGCATGAGTGGAACGACATACCTAAGAAAATTTGGTTATCTATCCATCCAAGAAATTTTGGTGATCACGTGACCATACACCCGTCCACCCATCCGCACCACAGAGAAACCAATGTGAAATGTCAAATTTTCTAGCTAGTGTGGGAGCCTGTTACCTCTGTTTAACTTGATAATAGACATCCATATTATGGTCAATTGACAGGTGTCACAACTTGGTATCCGCTGACCAGTGTCACATGACCGTATTGCGGGCTTAGGAGCCAACTCGTTGAGGTCACGTGAAGTTTTCCACTGACCAGTTGTTAGCTTTTAATTGATTGTGGCCTCAAGTTTGTTTTTCAGTCATATGGTTTTCCCATAAAGTTGAATATAGATTTGTGGTCTTTTTAATAGTTTAAAGTCCATTGTCTGTAGTAAATTTAAAGTGCATAAACGGGAGCTTCGCTTTTAGCTATGGCTAAATCTATATGCTTGTGCTAATTTTTCTCTTTTAGGAAAGGTACAGATAGAGCAGACTTAATCCCTTCCGCCACAGCTAATGTCAGGTGGCCACAAATAGTTATCAAGTTTTATGAAGAACGTGTCACATGGACCCAGAACAATGACAATGATGGAGACAGCTGAGGGAAGTTTCACCATCTTTTAACTCTGCTTTGTGACGCCTGTTTCGAGAGGGAGGAAAAAAAGACTATTGTCTGGGAAACATGTTTTACATGTCAGTGTATGTAGCTTGTCATGTAAGGAAGTACCACTTGAAGATACATGTAGCTGTACACACTGTATCAGGCACATGCAACAACTTACTGCTTACCTTCTGTCTTCCCTCGGTTTTGTTTTATTGCTTTTTAACCACTACCTTCATTGTGCCTAACCAGCAGGGGTTCAACTTTTGAAATACGCATCAGAGATTGTAGTCTGGGAATACAGCTATCTCTCCTCACTCCTCACCACTAGGGACGTTTTGCGACTCCTTGTGAAATGTCCCTAGCAGCGAGGAGTGGTGGGATATGGTTGTTTTTGCAGTATACAGCGATTGTTACATGTAGCTTCTTCATGGCAGTGATGTGTTCTGAAGGTAAACGTTGCCCCCTGGCAACCTGCTTTTGTCCTCGGGCAACAGAAATCATTTTTTTACACAAATATAATGCTTGGCATCCTGGACTTCATAAGTATGTTTAGGACTTTCTGTCAGAATTAAAAGTGAAATGAAAATGAAGACATGGTTTGAAGTCAAACAGATGTCTGCTAGTGTCTGCCCTCTTATGAGCGTAAAGTCTGGTTAGTTGGACAACTTCAATATATTTTCCTTACCAACTTTTTTATACCATCTCACTGATAATTATTCACTGCTTTGGTTTATTACTCCCTACTTCTACTTTGTTAGGGACGGCCTTAGTATCTACTGATTTTAAGTTTTTACCAGGAAGAATAAGGTTCAGTCAAATTGATGTTTATCTATGCACTATATGCAGAAATAGACTTAGCTTTTTTATGGTTTGGCATAAACATATTTCTACTTGTTAGTAGTAACATATTATAAAATGTATACCTGAAATTTTGGTCGACACATGATGTCTTCCAAAAGAAGAGCTGGAACATCACTTGAATTGAATAATTCTCAGTAGTTCTTAAGGCTACTCTATAACATTTTAGTCATGTTCAACTTTTAACTTAGGCCCGGTTCAGATGCCAAACGTAATATGAACTTGATTCACTGATTTGATAATTGGGCTCAGGTGAAGAATGGTGTCTGACATTTATTGTCAGCTCTTAAAGAAACTACACCGACACAGCTGGATGAATCTTCTTGCAGTTTTTTTGTGTTGCATTTTGTAGTTCGCTAGCAAAAGAAAAAGGCCCGTAGATATTTTAGGTGTTATAATCATTTCTTAGGTAGTGATATCGTTAACACTCAGGTGCATTGTTAAGTGAACACACAATATGAACATTTTGTGTTTTGAAAATTAATTACAGTGTGACCAAGAACCATGAACACCTGAAATATGTCAGGAATGTTATTTTCTGTCCAATTATGCATCTGAAATCCCCTCAACAAACCAGAGTGTTTACTGTTATTTGCGCGACTTGCCATCTTTTTTACTGTTATCTTGTCCTAAAGTTCAGAATGTTTGCGTAAAATTGAGCAATAATTGAGCTAATGAAATTCAAATAGATAACTTAAAACAAAACTATGGTAAAACGTTTTTTTTTTAACCAAAGAAATCTACTTTTAACCTTGCAACATCATTTTAAGCAAAATTTGACCTTTTCGATTCTTTTGATTTTGATTAAGCCCAACTAATAACTAACATTCAGTTTGCAGTTTTGGCGTGTGAAGTCCTCAATTGTGAAGTCCTTGATTGGCTTAAAGACAATAAACATTCCTGGTGTTTTGGGTGTTCACAGTTTTCCTGGTCGCACTGTAAAAAGCACTGTCTAAATTCTAGACAGGAAATTAATTTCCAGCTGTATCAGTGGATTTTCTTTATAAACCAAAACAAAAGATTTTTTATCAGACTCTATGAGGTGTGATTGCTAGAAAGAATCCTTAGCATTATTTGGGGTGTCTTATAAACTACACTGACATTGATGGGCTGAAGTTTTGATTATGGCCTCTTGAGTGGTTGCATGTGTGTTTTGTTTGGCAAAAATATTCTATGTACAGGTGATTCACTTTCCTATTAAGTAATGGTCCAGATAAGAAGGAAAGAACCAAATGCAATGAACACACTGGAATGCACCAAGGTGCTATCTTTAATTTTGGCTCTACTACATGTACACTTCTGATTGGTTTAAACATCAAATTTTACGAAATCTTCGCCAAGCAGCCAGTTAATCCCTTGTTTTCTAACGAACTTCCTTATGACAAAATCTCTTCTGAGTCAAAGTAACACAGAAATCCTATGTGAGGAACATGTAAAATTGTAAACTTTTCTAGGCTATTGTTTTCAACTCTTATGATTGGTTAAAATCTTTAACACACAAAAAACACCCTTTAAAATGGAGTTTGAATATATTTTACTTTGGAGACTGCCATTTTGTAGGTTTACGCATTCTCTGTGTAGAAATAAGAACATTCTTATGTGGGGAAAGCATATTGTCCCAGAACAAAAGAAATTGTTTCCCTTCTTACCAGGATCATTACTTAAAGAACTGCCTTGCCATCAAACTAAATAAATTGTAACTCTCGAAATATCTCAGGAATGTTTATCATGCTGACCAATCACAGTAAAGGTCAAGATACTGTGAAACCAAAAACTAATTAAGTGAATGTTGTTGCCTGCAATCTCACGCCAAATAGCTCTTTTCCATCACAACACTGTTTAAAACTTTCCAGAAACATTTTTTATGGTTACGGTTTTCCACATTCTCAATGGCAGGACAATAATTTTTTAAATAGACACTATACAAACTCACGTTAATGTTCCTGGACTTGTGTGCAATTGAAGCTACTGGTCCTAAACCGAAAATATTAGTTGACTGTAATGCTGCAATACCCAATAGCTTGTACTTAAGATATAACTTTGAGGATAATGGGTCTTGAGAGATACTTTGTGAAATTGGAAAGTTCATTATTTTTACTTTCTGATTTCTTTACAGTTCTGTTTTTTGTTGTTTACTTGTGATAAGCAGAAATACCGTAAAATTCCGAAAATAAGCCCCTCCAAATATAAGCCCCCAATCCGGTAACGCAAAAAACCTTCCGTTAAATCGCCCCTCCAAATATAAGCCCTTTGGGGGCTGGTACTTGGAAAATTGCCCTCAAATACAAAGTAAAACAAAGCAAAAACAGTAAATTTACTTCCAACTATAAGGCTAGCCCAATCGATTTTGAAACACAAATTTCCCTCCATAGATAAGCCCCTCCGAATATAAGCTCCTCCAAAAATAAGCCCCTCAAAAAGGTCCTTTGAAAAATATAAGCCCCGGGGCTTATTTTCAGAATTTTACGGTATAGTGTATTCAGGTGTTACTTATATTTTGAAACGTTTCATTTTCCCATGTCTTAAGCATTGTGGCTGTACTTGAATGCCTTCTGCTTAGTAAAAATCAGGATATCATATATACTGACTAAATCTTGGCTTCCCACAAGTTTGAAATGACTCCCAACTGAATGTACATGTGTAAAATAGACTTGTCTGCTTGTTGATTGACCTGAAAGTTCATTTTATTTTATTAACATTGAGTAATCATTAATAAAATGGTGTATTATTATAACCTTCCTGTTTATTTTTCTTTATACCATGTTCTTCAAAGGACATTCCTGGCCATGATATTTCAATCCCACCTATACGTTTAACATGCATTGCCAGCTGATGACTGCTTTGCCATTAGCCAAAAATTAGATAAAATAAGAGAGTGGGACAAGTTGGGTCTTTGGGCGCGATCCATTCAACCAAAATTCAGACTGGTCCGACCGGGAAAAGAGGACCACCTCAAAAGGTGGACCTGTTTTTTCAAAACTTTTCCGGTTGGACCGAACCGATCCATTGAGTTTTGGACCGAAATTTCCGGAAATTTTGGTTGAATGGATCGCGCCCTTTGATTTTAAAAGGGAATGAACCTTTTTAAATATCATCAGAATGTTGTTTTTCTGGCGCAGGCCGAATATTCTTACTTTTCTGCCGATTTAAGGCTGAAAATATTTTAGTATCATTCTTAAATTGAAGCTTTTTGGCTTTTAAAGTTACTTGCTTACACATGTTTAACTTTTAAATGGGACAACAAAGTGAATAAGTAAAAAATGACCGGTATATGAGAAGAAAGAGGCTAATGTTAATCAGTCATTTTGGGAGTGCAAAATACAGTAGTCACTGAATCTGCTGACTTTTTTGTGAACAGATGACTTTATTAGATTCAGCAGTCTACTTGCCTTTTGTCAAATTAACCGGTTGCAGAAAAGCTGCATCCTAGTGGCTGATTACTCTCTTTCTTTCCCACCCTACCCCCTGCTCTTGTTATTGCTGCAGGCCACAAATGTTTACAATGTGATGATGAAGCAATCAGCTCTCAAGAGATCTAAAATCTGGAGACCTTTTTAAAATTAACCCTCCCGCCCAAAAATTGACACAAATTGACAGTCCCCAAATCTGAAATCTTTCATGAGATACAGTGTACATACTACCAGAATTCACCACGATCGATGTAATGATGAAAAAATCTTCGTCAGTTATGAAATTCATGCAAAAATACCCCAGATACCATACTATGAATAAAAAAGTCAAATTCTTAGGAAAGGGGCAAAATTCCATGCTCAAGCACAGAAAACCTCAAAAGTCGATTTTATCTGGAGAATTTGGTGACCCGTTTTGCAGAGCAGGCGATTGGGGGCCTGTTTTTCGAAAGTCCTTGAAACTTTCCAGACCCAAAAGCAAATTTTAAAATCAAAACCTGTAGAATAGTAGCATAGGCTCAAACCAGTCAACTTTTCTTTGTTAACTGATAGTTTCATTGTATCATGCTCAAAATTTTTGAAACTTCAACCTCGCATGTAAACACGACAAACACAAAACGGCTTTACATGCCCGAAAGTATGGCCCCAGGACTGTATCTGGGATACTCCCAGATAATCTGGGTGAGTTGGCTTATATGAAATAAACGCCCATTCTGGGTATACAGTTAACAACACACTAAAAAATTTTCTCTCTTGAGGTTCATTTTTTATAACATTTAAAGCCAGTAAAAACATAGCCTACATGTATGTTGCAAGTGTTTCCTGCGAGCCCATCGAGAAAGTTTTTTTTAGGCTCTCACTCCAACTTTCACACAGTAACTTGATTGGAAATGCTTTCTACACAGGCAAGTAAAAACAAGCATGTATAACCAGAAACAAAATTACATAAATTTTTTATTTTAGTTCACAAAGTCTTTTTCTATTGAGCAACAAAAAGGTTAGTCATAGCTGTAGTAAATATATACAGTTCACTTTCATTCCAGTATGCTCCCTGATAGACTGCCATTGACATCCAACATCACATGTCATCTAACAATCTTTTCTTCATCCCGTGAGGTCCTTAAATTTCACAGCAAAGTAGCTGGCAACTATTGTCTGTAGTTTTAAGCCCAAAGAAGACTGAAAATTTAAAATGCAGAGTATAAATGAAACATATTATTAATGTAATTGCATATATTGTTACTGTTTTCAAGACAGAAACCTTCATTGGAACTAAAGAGTAGCTCTCTCTGTCTTGAAGACAGATGTTGACTGTCAAGTGTAGTTCAGCTATAACCAGTAAGTCTAAATTATGGGGAAAACATGTTATTGTTTTTAAAACCTAATAATATGAAATAAAGGTAAATAAGCTGTCAAGGAAACTTCCCTTATGCATCAGCTTAAAATCCCACCACATTGGAGAACTGTGAATGAATTCAACATGACACAGTGACCATTGACTTCCTATTGGTGTCCTCCTCACTTAGCCAAACAAAGACTCATGTGCAGCGTATTAAATGCAATTCGTCAAAAAGCTCTAAGAGGTGTTAAAATAATTACATTTTCCAGGGTCAAAGAGCATTTTTTCACTTTCAATGATGATGGCAACTTCATGTTTTTTGCTATTGTTTGCAGGGTTCAAATTAAAATCACAGCTTTTAGCCTGAATCCATAGGCTTTTATTTGTCACGGCTAATTTTATCCTAGCTGTCTTTTTAGGTGTTTATTCAAGTGTAAAATGCGGCTTTGTTTATTAGACAAATCGTCCCACTTCTTCACTCACAAACCAGGGTGAAGAACCCCAGTTTGACCTTGCTATTGCTTATCGTTTTAAATTAATTACTATTATGCAACAGTACGACCTTGACTCTCTATCAGCTCTATCGGCAATAAGGAAGCAAAAGTTTTCGTTGACCTCTGCTCACAATACGGAGCTTAAGCAACTGCGACGATGACAACTTCAAAAAACTGTCAATAGATTTAATGATCAAAACAACAGCTCTGCACGTGCATCTCGCTTTTTAGTACATTTCTTTGACGTCCACTGCATGACTACCATGTGAAACCTCCTAATTTGTCGCTTTATGGAGGACGTGGACATATGACGACAAAATTTTTCTTCCTCTTTTTGAACTGGAACTAAATCCTTAAGAATTCAACTCCAGGAAAAGTCCCCTGCATTTGACATATTGAGCGGGTTCAAATAAATGTGATTAAGTTTGAAACAATGCAAATTCATTTTTTAGTGACGTTTTCACTGCCGTCATTATCATTGATGCTTAAGGTCCCTAATGATTTATCACCCCTTCTTATTGACAAGTTGCATTTTAGTACCATGTGAGTCACTGTTTTGCTGTGTGACAAGGTTTCAACCATTGCTACGTCATGGTAAATTCTCTTTTACAACATTTTATCAGGGAAACAAACTGCCACATGACTTCACTTACAGGGATGGAATCGTATGGTTAAAGAGTAAAATAAAAGTCGAACTTTGCAGTAAAGCCATGTAGATTCTGCTATGGAATTGTGACAGTAGGGGTATTTTAACCTGGAAATTCACCCTTTGTTTGGAAAGGGTTTTCTAGTAGCAAGAGAAAGGTATAACGTTACAGGAGAATATTTATTTTGAAAGAGACTCCACGTCTAAATAGAAAATAGTCTTAGCCTACTGGGCCCAGTTGCTCGAAGCATGGTTAGCGTTAACCAGTGTTTAATACCTTGACAACGTATTGGTCTTAACCAATGGTTTAAGCTAACCATGCTTTGAGCAACTCAGCCCTGAACGTTTGCCAGAGAATTCTGCCTAGTAAACGGAGAATTCCCCGATCGCAATCCCTGATGCCTAATGAACACTCCGTTGGTGAATTGTCCAGATTCAATGTGTTTGTTCTAGCTCTCTCTTTAAGGTTGGAAACAAGGGAGTGCATAGAAAAAATCGCTAAAATCGCACTGGATCAGGAAAATAACCACACAGGAAGCAAGAACACACCAGATAAAGCAAGGCAAGGGATTTTTTGTTGAGAACTTCTGCGAAAAAATATCTTGTTGAATCTTTAACCGGGATTCACAGGTAAATTCTTTATGTTCAAAGCTATTTAGAGATTAGGCGATATAATTTGTATCACACCAGCAGCCCGTAACCTGGCCACCTCCAACGCTCATACTGCGCTTGGAAGGCCTGTGGTTTTCCTCTGCAAATGTAAATATGTGCCACTACGACACGAACTTTCCGAACGCAGTGTCTCATGGAAGGCGTAAACACACGAGAAAAATTTCTTTTTTTTTGGATGCGGCCGCTAACAATTAATAGCGCTAGTCGATTTGTCTCGCATAAATTATACAATTGCAATACTCGACCTACAAGACAGTCGATCGCGCGAAAGTGCATCTCCTCGCTCGCTCATTACAAATCTTCCGAAAAAAGGGCTTGCTTACCTCAGCAATGTTGGCTCGGGCATTCCAGGTTCACCTCCTTGTTTTAATCCTAAAAAAGTAGCAGCAAAAAATAAACGTTAAAATTTTAAATGCGGTTTGGAGACATCCACCGAAAAATTCGCCTTTCGAGAAAGCACGTGCGATAGGAAAAGTTTTCCTACCTAGATAGATTATAAGTGGAATGAAACCCCAATGAAATGCTGTTTTACTAATTTTCAACACTTTTTGGATACGCTTTTTGGTCTCCTTTTTCATTTTTCTCGTCGGTAGGCAACAAAAAAGTTAAAACCAAACTTTCTTGATTCTTTGTAGCAGCGCAAGATGGTGGTTAATATATGACCGTGGAGGCCTGGGACATCACTGGAGGTAATCAGTACTCAGAATTTACCCAGAAATCTCTGTTAGAGAAGTGCTTTGCTAGGCGCCGAAAGAAGTCTTAGGAAGACGCCTCGCGAAATTATCCAGGTGGGTGAAACTTTAATTCCTCCATTGGCTTTGTAGAAGAGTTACGGAAGGTCTTATCTAAATGGTATATAATAAATCAGAGATTGAAGTATCAGGGACGTCAGTACCGCCACGGTTGGCTTCTTCCGCTTTCTCACACCCACGTTCCCTTTACGTCAAATTGCCCACCTGTCACAAGCATGCAGGGTTGTCAGAAAGTTTTGAAGTAGACGGCTGAGTTTTCAAAGTATTTAAGCAACCAGTGCAGGGATATTTTATTTTAAAAACGTCACCCGTAAAGAAATGCCAAGCAGAGTAGTCGGCTGATACTAATCAAGCCGGAGGCGATTTTCGCCGGTAGCCGGCTACTTTTGACAACCCTGATAAGCATCCTCTCCTCTTCTCCCTTTCTCATAAATACACTGAATATAAGTCATTTCTCTAAATCATGCCTGTTGTGATTCAGGCATGTTTTAGCAGAGATAGTTTCTTCGGTCTGGCGCGTGACAACGTTTTCCTCCTGAGTTATCAAGAACTACAGTAGCTCTTGACAGGATCCCCGCTGGCTCCTGCTCTTAATCAAAAATCGTGGTGGTGGAAGTGCAAAGATGTTATCCTAATTCTAAGTAAATTATCGAATACTATACTCAATTACAATACTAAATTTTATGGCCCCAGGGTTCTCTTGGCAAGTCAACATGGATCGCCTGAGATTATGAGAGAGATGTCGGTAAGTGTAGGTAATTGTAACTCATAGTTCTTACTGTCTCGAGCTATCAGTGATCGGCTTAAAGCGGGTCTGGATGGGGTTAACTGACTGACAAATGGCCAAAATTTCACTGACTGATAACTGACAAGTCCCCTAAAATTTAACTGACAACTGACATTTGCCTTGGGTTTTACTGTCAACTGACAAAGGACCTGATTGTCCTTTGTTTTCTACAAAACCTATTGTTAAGGCCTAGATGATTCAGATACGGTCTTTCTTGGTCTTTCTTACGATTTAGTCGACTATTCTGAAGGTATAGATTTTGATTGGCTTAATGGTTGGAAATGTCGGACCCTCGCCAGCAAAAACGTTTGTGTGGAGAAGAAACACAGAAGATTTGGGAAATAGAGAGCTTTCAATCGCAAACTGATAAAAATTACGGTACTATTGCATCAGTTTTCTCTTTTAATGATTAATTTCTATTATGTGTGCCTTTTTAGCTAACTTTTGAATCAAAACTGAACCAAATAAGTTCCGTAGTTAATTATTTAAAATAATAATTTAACCGACAACTGACAAAAAGCCTAAAATTTAACTGACAACTGAGCAATGGCCAAAATTTTAACTGACAACTGACATTTGTGTACCCCCACCCAGACACTACTGGTCAACGAACCAGTCCGTTTTGTTTTGTTTCATATTATCTACAAAACTAGTGAAACGTCCATCTTGAGTGTATACAACAACAGCTTTCCGTGAGTTTCCGTACCCGTTAATTATCTGAACTTTCGAGAAACCGGCCCCAGGGTAACAAAAACTGCGCAACTGAACTTTGATCGATTTTGTACGAGGCTGGATGGAGCCTATAGCAACTCCTACAGCCGCTTCCGCAGCGAGGAGGAACGCGGATTTTCATGCTTTCCTCGTCAGTCGTCAGTGAAATAAAGGTCGCAGAACATATCTTTTTGCATCCTAAAAAACTTTGATGCGGTTTGCTAATTTTAATTATGCGCTCTTCGTCACGGCTATAAATTTCTTTGTGGTTCAGTACGTTATAATTCAATTTTATCTTTTCCTTTGTTTTGAGGTATGGTAATGTATGATAATAAGTTTGAAACAAGGAACATAAAATTTAAACCAATAATGAAATTGAACCACAACATATATATCATCCTCGCAGTTGTAATTGACAGTGATCAAGAAAGATTTAGCCTGCGAGCAAGCTCTCCTATTTGGGCGAGCCTCGCCAGAACGCGCAAGCGAGGGGCCGAGGAGACCAAACTTGTCACACAGACGAAGCGGGTGCCAGCTTGGCCTGTTATCAATCAACTTTGTTTTCCGGAACGTCATTTTTCAGCCAATGGTATTTCCTTTCGTCTCAGCGAATTACAAATGAAATTTCATGAGAGATCGTTGCAAGCTCTCCTTTCCTCTGCCCCTCGCGGCTTCGCCGCTCACTGCGATTAGTCCCTCAGGATGGTCACGCGAGCGAGGAAATCGAGCGAAGCGAGCGAAAGCCGAGGGGAAGCTGGGAAGGAGGCGGGAAAGGAGGACGGGAAAGGACTCTTCTTCCCGCCTCTCTCCAGTTTCCCTGTCGGCCAATTCGCTCTCTCCAGCCCTGCCGAGCTTAGACATTCTGACTGAAGAGGGACTGCTCGCAGTCTATTCCCGCGCGCTCGCCGATGTTTTTGAAAAGAACGAAAAGAAAAATATAAAATGTCTTTGTTTACAGGTTAATAAGCACCCTTCCCCGAATAAGGGCAAGGCCCTAGGCCAAAATATCAGACAAGCGCCCCTCTCGAATAAGCGCCTTACCCTCCTTCCTCACCCCCTCAATTTCTTAAATACTGTGAAACTCATAAAACCGTCATCGTCAGAAATATTTCTGGAATGTGATTGTGTTGCACAGAAAAGGCCAATAAGGTTTGACAAAACTAAATTGCAATGCTCGCCGTGTGTCCTTAACTTTCGATGTAATTCGTCGTGTTTCCCAACTAACTTTCCTGAAATATTTCAGTTGTTAAAGCTTTTTGTATTTGAAATGCAGTAACATGAACTTTTATCCCCTTTTTGGCTTAAAGGTAATTTGTGCCGGCCCAAGCTTCAAGCATGTGACAAATTGGAGAACTGAGAGATCAATGAGTATCTTACAAGATTAAAACAGATTACCGACAACAAACGATATTAGAGGCAGGCTAGGACTTGGCAAATATGAGTACTGAGCTATTTGCAAAATTTAAAGCAATGCAGGCAGAGAAAAACGCCCCTGAAGACCAGCAGTTCAAGGAATGGGAAAATCATCCTTGCTGTGTCCTACTTCCGTCACCTGAGAAGCTGGATATATCGATGAACTCACCAGGCTCAGATGTTACAGATACTTTAGAGGACTTTCAACGGATTAAAAACTGGGCAAACGAGAATAAATTGCTGAACACGGGGTTTCCTGATTACCGTGAAAGACAAGACAAACAGCTTGAAAAGTCTAGTTTTAAAAGCCTTGTCCAGCTCGCATTCAGCACAGCATTTGTAGCAATGCGTAACACAAGAAGCCCTGATCTAGAGGAGTTGGTGTTTTGGTTTTACACAGGTCATGGGCTTGGCACGGAAACCGCCAAAACACTGGAATATTTGTCAACCCCTTGCCTTAGCAATTTTGATTTGAATCATAATTATCTTGATGATGCAATCGTTTTTGATTTCGTACAGAAAGAGAGGAAAGTACAAGGAGGGGAGCTCTGCCTACACATGGGTGGCTTTTGTGATCTTTATGGCTTGTTGAAGCCATGGATTGCAGCTGTGAAGTCAGAGTCAATAAATGCCCCAGGTCAAAAGAAAAATAAGCACCTTGTCGTCATCCTAGATAGCTGCCATTCAGGGATAATTGCACAGGAGTTGAAAGAGTTTGAGAGGCAAGTCCGAAAGAAAGATGATTCTTTTTTGAAAGAAAATAGCGTAACCATTCAAGCTGCTTGTGGTCCTAACGAGCGCACTTTCGGAGGTTATTTCACTCCTGTCTTTCTCTACCTGAATGATCCACAGAATAAGAAGCTTTTGGAACAGTTGAGGAAAAGTTGGAAACAAATGACAGATGAAAAGAAAGATGAATACAGATCGATTGAACTCCCATCTCCGATGGTGGTAACTACGAGGGCTTCGCTTCATGGCACTGAAGAGCAAGCTCAGCCTCCTCCCGCTCAGGGTGGTACAGTGGACCCTCAGCCTCCCCTCGCTCAGGGTGATACAGTGGACCCTCAGCCTCCCCCCGCTCAGGGAGGTACAGTGGACCCTCAGCCTTCCTCCGCTCAGGGAGGTACAGTGGATCCTCAGCCTCCCCCCGCTCAGGGTGATACAGTGGACCCTCAGCCTCAGAATGTTACAATGGAAATCAATGTTCAGAATTTCAAGTTGACACTCTTCCCAGATGCTGGATTCTTTAAATTCTGTTCCCTTAAGGTCTTTCAATATCGGCAGGCCAAGGCTTTAGAGCCTTTAGTGAAAGAAAGAGCACTATACCGTGCCACAGTAGAAGCGTTTATGAAGTCCAAAAGCTTTAAAGTTCTCGACTACAAGCTCAAGACATACACTGGAACTGGTCCAGCTGACAAAAACGCTGGATCTCCGAAAGCCCTGTTCCTGCTGGATGATCCCCACAACCCTGGCTTTGCTGTCTGTGCACACGTTCATTTCAAAGCAGGAAGTACAGATGTCAATGACGTTCAAAGAATCAATCTCGTGCACCACAAGAGACCACCCGGTAGATGTATTGAGTACGTGGAAGATGGTGGAAAGTTTCGGGTTAATATAGACAAAACTGCTGATGCTGCTCGTGAATTGGTAAAAGCTTGTCGTCAGTATGTAGATACAAATGAACCAGGCAGGTGGAATAATGTCAGCCAATGGAACATGACAGGAAGTCAACTTAGTGTCAATGGACAATTTAGATTGAACGAGCGTTCCGCTTGGGAACAAAGCTATTTGACGTCCATTAAAAAGTATAAACTTCCTGAAAAGGTTCCAGCCAACTCCTGGCACCGTTTTCCGCTTTTATCATCATTTTTTGTTTTGTTTGCCATCTCCTTTCATTTTTACTTAAACATGCGTGCTTAAGATTGGAACCATTTTTGGAGCTCACACTGGGTCTCTTAAGGTCACGTGACCAGCCACGCCTATAATTATGCAAAATTTAGTATTTTCAGATTACCCCATGAAAGTGACTGTTGAAGCTTCCGTTTATTTTCCATAGTGTTAAGTTTAAAGTCAAATGAGTCAAATTAAACGGGGAATCGCAAAATATTTTAATTCCTATGCAATTATCAAATGTTTTCTCCTCTACCCAGTCCCACTCTCAAATCGAAACGTTATAGTTCACTCAAAACTTATAATTTTCAAAAAAACCGATTAATTCCATAAATCTTGTGTTAATAGTCGTTGAAAAAAAAAAAAAAAAAAATCAAAAAAAAAACTCCCAAAATGTAGTAAAATAGAAACAAACAAAATGGAAAAAAATGGGCAAAAAAAGTAAAGTAACTAAAATAGCTAATTAAAAACAACGAAAAAGAACATTTTTTAAAAATAATTTAACGAAATAAAACATTCAATTCGAAAACCAAAATCTACTTAACATTATAAATGATTAAAATGAAACGGGGAATCCAAAAAATTTTTAATTCCTATAAAATTAAGAAATTTTTTCTCCTCTACCCAGTCCCACTCCAAAACCAAAATTTTAAAGTTCCCTAAAAACTTAAAATTTAAAAAAAAACCAATAAATTCCAAAAATTTTTTTTTAAAAGTTCTTAAAAAAAAAAAAAAAAAAAATCACAAATAGTACTCGCAAAATGTCGTAAAATTGGATCGAACTAAATGGCAAAACATGGGCGAGACAAGTCACGTGACTAAGATAGCTCATTAGTGACAACGGATAAGTACATTTTTTAAGAAGTATTTATCGCATGTAAAGTTTCAAGTCGAAAAGCTAAATCTTCTTTAAACTAGATCACCCCCTTACAAATTTCAAGAGACCCATTCCTAATTCACCCGAGAAACAGTAGGCACTGTTAAGTTCAGTTCAGTTTTCTGTTCGCATTTTACAATTTTTATGATGACTGTGATTGATAGAATCCCTAGTTAAATCACTATGGACATCGAATCTTGGTTCCCCAGGGGTCCCAGAGCTAACAAAACATTCCTTCCTCTGCTTATTATCGCGTAGCAAGAAGTTAAGCTAAAACACATCTCAAGTTAAGGACAGTTAAATGGGTGTTCACACGAGAGATTTTGTTAGCCTGCGCAGCTAGCGTTTCCGTGCGGTTTCGGAGCAAAGAACGAGGAAGAGAATCAAAGACCGCGCGATTTTTTTTTTTTCGGCTCTCATTCCATATTTCGAGCGGCCAAAACCGAAAATCCCTCGGTCTTTCTTTACTCAGAAACCAAAAGGGAAACGCTTGCAACCGTCAGGCTAGTGAGTTGCTTGCTCGCTGGTCATAAATGTTTCCGGGAGAGGACGAACTATTCGTGGTCCAGTCAACTTATGAATGAGCTGTGATATAACCCCATATAAAAGATAGTGAGCCGAACTAAAATGACATATAGACTTTACATAGAATGTAGTGCAGCGTTACCCCAGATTGACTTGATTATCAATGGGTTTTGCATTGTGTAAACTTTGTTTTATACTGATATATTTACTTGAATATTCTAGGCTAGCGTAATAATTATTTTATTCATCTTTGATGGGTATATTATACTTCAGTTTTTTTTTACGAGTTAGGAGTAATAGTGTGATTGTACCACTTACATAGTTCTACTGATGCTGTGCATCTTTTTAATGAATACTATAAGCGTCATAATACGATATTTATAGATTTAAATGTAAACTGAGCCAACTTGAGTTTTTAAACTTAAAGATTACTGTTCCTTAGAGTACGTTTCTTTGCGGGAGAATGCATGCAGGATCAAATTATTTAACTGTGACGTTTTACATAGGTTACATCCAAAAAATGAAAAAAATCCTGGAAATGAATTATTCAGCGTACCAGTATTAAGGACAAAAAGCAGCGAGAACATATGGCATCAGACCTCAAGTATTAACAGAAAACCCGCTTTCCAGGTGGGAATCCTAAACTGTCGGATTTCTAGATTTGACCTTGAGTCGACTCTACTCGACCAGTATGGATTCTTTAGATTCAAAATCCATTTTGGGGTTATTTAGTAGCGAAACACAAAGTCCGTTTTTGGATTTATGTATCCGCATTAGGATTTACTTAGCAAAGAAACGTACCCGAGCACATGACAACAGTTATAATCATTGCAAGTCCTAGCTAAGCGTTTTTGATCGATATGCAGTACGAAGCTCTGTAACTTAATTGGCTTAGTTTGTTCGTCTCCAAAAGAGAGTCCGAGGTATCGGAATAAAATCTACGTGGAACAGGATCTATTTAATTACTTCTGCCTTTATCTCTTTCTTTGATGATTTAAAGAAATCTATTTAGAAGCCGAGGTTAACGAACGTATTTTAGAAGGCCTCTAAGCTTTGTAATGCCCCCTAGGGGCACTCCCTTTTTTGTCCTAAGGGATCTTCATTTCTCCACTGGAAAGGGTATTGTTATCAGGGCTCTGAGTCTTGACACGGTATACAGTTTTATACTATTTAGCGTCTTGAACAGGTTGCCTTTTTGAAACAAAGCCTTTAAAGGGACATGAAGGTTGGCGGTTTGTGGTCTACATTTGTGGTACCCGGATATATTATATTATTTCTTTCCAATAGTTGAAAAAATACTGTATACGAAAGACTATGAATCAAGGTCATAAAGTCATAGCCGACTCTTTGTTCATCATTTCAGGACAATTTAATTGGCTGTAGAATAGCAGGCTGGATTATGTTACAGCATGATTTGTAGTGCTATTAGGTACAAACTATACCGCGAGTGAAATTGTTATACGTAATTCGCTATGGCTCGTACTTTCAGCAAATGTACTCGATAACTGTTTTCAAAAATCAATAAACTTATTCTGTTTTTAAGAACAGAACAGACTTATTTCCAACAAGAGGTCCGTTAGTCAAATACCCTGCGAACAAAGTCAATTCATATCGAGATAAAAAAATCTCCTGCTCGGCGAGCCAAAATTAAGTGGCTCTGTGAAGAGCAATTTCGCTCGCCTTTTGCTGCTTCAGTTTTAAGGAGAATGTAGCGACGATTTTATGCACAAGTTTTTTGTAAATTTTTGTTGCAGTTTTTTTAATCGTTATACAGCGATTTCTGTAGGCTTGTGTAATAAACGCACTTCGTCTTGGCTCTGTCGTTGTTCTCTCTTGCGCAAAGGGTCTTTAAGAAATCGCCGCTAGTTTACACTCGCAAAATGTCGCCTCTGGAAACGGATTAATCGGGCCTTTACAAAGCGCCTCTGCCGTAACAATCGTAATAGTTATTGCATCTTTTCAGCTACAGTTATATCTTCTTTATTCTCCACAACGAATGCAACAACATTTTTATTTCGCAAAAAAGTGCGAGGGGAAGGGCAAGTTCCCCCAAGCATCTCCGGCAGCGCGTTCCCTGACTTTAAGGTATAACATTCTTGGATGTTTTACTTACTAAGAGATATCTGTTCTAAGAATCACAGGGAAAATGAATAACAAGACCCCCGTAACAGGGCCTATATTCCTTAACGCTACCAAATTTATATTGCTCAGTGTCTTTACTCTTATAGAGACGACTTGCTCAGAATTTTCGAGAATTTGTTCAAAATCACTGCCGAAGAGTGCAAAAAGTCCACTTCCGGTTGACGTGCGTCGCTCAAAATCGTTGTTGCTCCCCAAATGTCTAATGACAACTAGTACTGTCTTGTGCAACGGTTTTCTTTTACGCTGAAAAATAGTTATATACCCGAAACGTGGGTTTGAATTGTGAAAAGCGAAAGCTAGTGAGGTTTCCTAATTGTTAACGAATCATGACTAGTTTTCTTCCTTTTTTGTCTGTATGGTGATAACCTGCTGAGATTAGGGTCAATTTTCGTTTCGCTTTGTATTACCATTCCGGCGGGTAAGGCGAAACGAAAACCAATTTTAGCGGTAGCCGTTAGAGAGAATGTATGAGAACCGCTAAAACTGGGCCTGATCTCAGGTTAGTAAGGTGATCAGAAAATGGCTCACGTAATCTCAAACGGTGTTTTTCGACAAAAAAGTTCAAAGGCGATTGATTTAAGAGAATAAAAAAGGCCAGTTAAAAGACCACTGACAGTCTCCTTCCCTCTTTGCAAAAAGAAAGATAAGTTTGACAAATGCTTCATAGTTTACTGTGTTTTTTAAATGAAATGAGTTACGTACGTGGCTCGTTGCAATTGTGCTACGAATTAATAAATGGTTTGATTTTAAGTTTTGTTGTGTCTTTAATTGTGTCTGTCGGGGTGAAAATGACTGGTGATGGCGACTTTTTGTTGATAGATTCGTGAACGTTGATTATTTGATGGAGCTACATCGAATTTGAATTTTACTGTAAATATATTATATGCAGTATGCTTTTTGTTTGAACAACACAAATCAGTTACAGACTGTCTTAAACATTTACAAATTATAATTAGTAACAGCTTGTGAAAAGGGGCTTATCCCGGACATTAGAACTATGGTGAAGGCTTATGGCAAAATTTCAATTTGATTTCCCTTGTATTTGAAGAATTCCGCTGAGTTTTCATTCGTTACTGACACGTGGGACGAAATTGCTTTCACCGCGGGCGACAAAATGCGTTCAAACTTAATCAATTAAACAAAACTTCTTCTAGCATGAGCTTACATTGTGTTGATCAATAACAATAGCCTGTCTGAAACGATACTTTCAACAACTTTAACAGCCATGAAGTTCTTAAAGTGCAGTGTATGCGTTAAAAGCCGAAACCAAATACGCAAATTCCGTACGAACGAAAGTAAAAACAAACACACTCTCTCTGTCCGACTTTACTTCCTAGCGCGTAAAAACCTCGAACAATGGCTTTACAACTGAACAAGGAAACGCAATTTTCACAGCGTTGCGTGCATTACATTTCGGCGGAAGCCACACAATTAGAGGTAGGTTTAAATAGCCAGCTGACTCATTTTAAAACACTAATTTGTTGAC